TCCTCCCATCTAAAACGGAATCAACTTGTCCGCCCCTTAAACTCTAGAACTTCGTACAACCTTCTACCCTGCGACCTCACAAGGGAGGTCTTTCAGGGCAAGGTGCGCTTTTTCAAAACGGTTTTTGCATATTGTAGGGACGCATGTAGGGAACGCAAAACCATGTTTCATTTTCGCTGAACGGTTATAGCAGTACCAAAAAAGAAGCATAAGGTACTGTTAAGGGTTCGATCCCCCGTGGCGACTAAATTTTGCATTTGGGTTGGCGCCTACGGTTTGGTGCCAAATCGCGCTAAATATCAAAATCAGATGTCAAATTCATCGTCAGGACCATTTTGAAGCCAACAAGTGGCCGCCAACCTTGATTGCAAAATTTAGTCGCCGCGGGGATTGAACCATCAAGAGTATTATTCACCACTTTTTTGGTACTACTAAAACCGTTCAGCGAAAAACANAACATGAAAGCACATCCCTGGTCAGAAAGGGGAATTTGTTGTTGGAAATCATGATGCGCTGTACGGAGGCGCACCAAGCCGTTCGACCGAACATGGGCCCTTAGACCCTACCTGAATTGGTGGGTCACAAAAGCAGAACTGCATTAGGCAGACGGGCCTGTCGCGGTTTCGCGACGACGGTCGTGGGCGCACCGCGCGCCCGGCCCCCTGTCGCGCCGTTGGTCGCTTGGCGGCGCACGCACCGGCGAGAGGCGCGTGCTCCGCCTCCGGCCACGCCTCCAGCCGAGGCCTATATAAAGGGTCGCCTCTGCCAGTCGGCGCTCTTCGTCTCCTCCGGGAGAGACGGTCGTCGGGCAACGCGAGGAAGGCGAACGGCTAGGGGTGCCTGCTAGCACCCGTCAGCATGTTCGGGCATGCTGTCCCGTTCGCTCGGAGCGCTGGTAAGTTAGTGTCCCGCTACACCCGAGGGACACTATCGGCTGCAGGCCGATGTTACCGCAGTTACCGCTATTGGCTGCAGACACTACAAGCGTTGGCCGGGCTTCTCCACGCTCGGCAGGAAGTTAAGTTGTAGTGCGTAAAAGGACGTTATCGCCAATAAACTATGAGTCCAAGATGTGTAGTGTTGTGTGTACAAGTATGGCAGCACGGGTAAGCTTGGGGGAGCGCCAGGGCTGGGGCCCGGTTAAGGCGCAATAGGTCATCATGTGCTGCGTGCATCAAGGGGTTGTTACCGCGGGGCATGGCCCTGTAACCCCCCGTTCCTGGGTTAGGAACCCTGTAAGGCCCCGGGGTGCGGAGGTCATGCGTGCGGGAAACCGCATGATCCCCGGGAAGGACCCGTAGAACGACGTGTGCCTGGGAAAGGCCACGGGGGCCCCGAACCACCTCGATGCGTCGTGTTGGAGGGTTAGGAGGGCAACCGCTCCCGAACCACGACAAAGGAATATCCACTGGAAACCTTTCAATAGTTAGTCGTTCGAGGAAATCATGTAGCAGCTTCAGACTGGACCAATTGCACTGTGCCTATTTGAGCTCAACGGTGATGGCAAAAGAGTCATATTCTGAAGGCCGGGGACAGTAAAAATGGTCCTGCTTCTCATGGAGAGGACACCTGAAGAATATATCGAACTAAAACACGCAGTACAGCGTTCATCCTGACGCGAATAGTAGTGTGGTGGTCGGTGTGGGGCCAGTGGAAGGACTTCGTATGTTAATCGGCTGCAGTGGAACCTGCCTAGCTACACCTGATTCTCCAACGGCGGTCGCGTCGTCGTTCCAATTCTATTCATACCCTCCTCCATCCAAGCGCATTGCCAGCCTGATACCATATAATTGCGATCCTCCTCTCCTCGGCAAGAGCCCTCCAGTCTTTGAGTATTGCTGCGCTTCAATAGATCGAGGAAGTAGGGAATCGGTGCGGAATGGGAACGATACACTCGCGCGTCCCTCTCCCAGAAGAATAGGATACGGACCAGTGATTCCGGGGATCTATAACAAAAGATTACAAAGAGCTTTTGAGATTGAAGCTGGATGACTTTCTGGTAGTTTCCCACACCACGAATCTCGACGAACTGTCCAAAATTAAATTATGCGACACCTAGGCGCAGCCTGCGACTGCATTTGCGTTTCAAGTTACTGATAGATGCGCGCTGACGCGATCATTTTATTTCTTTCAAGTTTCAATCTAGGCCACGTTTAGTTTGCGCTTCAGTGCTTGAACAAATTTTACTAATCTAATGGTCGACCTTATCAGATTAGAAGTGATTTGTCGAATTTCCGTTAAGGGAATTTTTCGCTTGAGAAAGAAAAATAAGGATGATTTGAAGATGTATGTACATTGAAGAGGACGATTCAAACAAAATTCACTATAAAAAGGGCTTTCCAAAGCGAATTCCGCAAAAATTATGAGACTGTTCCGAAACTAGAGAGCGAAATTTGACAGGTGTGGGCAGGATGTGTGGGATGCAAGACACTCACCGTCCTTCTCAAAAGTGCACTTCAAATGAGTCACTAATTATCGTTATTGTCCTGTTCTTTCCTTAAGAAAGGCTCGACGAGAAGAACTTACATGAAAGGATTAACAAAAACAAAAAGTGGCCGGAATTCCACCATTTCCTGTCTTCTAATTTTACTCGCTCCAAATTTTCTATGGGTGTGCCTCCATTTGAAGAATTGTTCACGATAAAATAATGGCTTCTATTCCACATTTATTCTGGCTCAAAAACAAAACAACAAATGCCGAACTCTCCCCACCTTCCAGTTTTCTAATTTTACTCTTACAAAGTTTTCTGGGGTTTGCTCCCATTTAATTTAAGGACTTGTTCACATAAACTAATGGTTCTATTCCACCCACTTATTACTGGCTCAAGACCTATCATTCGGGACAAGCAGAAGAACAAGGAACTGCTTGTCCTAGGCTTGTTTGTCGGTTTGTTTTGGTCAACAATTGGAAAAATCGGCAAGCGAATGTGGTTGTTCAATCTGCCCGTGCATCTATCGCAAATGTTGGCGACGGGAACGATTCCACTTGGTTCTCAGAGTGCCTTCACTAGGAACTCTTTTTGGCCTTCTCCACCTATGGCAATAACATTTCTCTTTTCCACTGCATTCTATACCTTCAATCGTTTTGTCTCCAAATTCAAACGCTTTGGCCCGATTTTTCCAATGCGTCGTATGATACGTGACCATCCCAAAGCAAAATTTCTTTTCTATGCTTCCCTTGTCTCGCCCAACCTGACCCGCAATACGTCCCGATTCATCTCTCTTCGCAAGTTTGTTTCCTTGAGGAACAACATGGATTTCTTGTTGGAACTTTGGCGTGATCGTCCTTGTCCCTAGTAACCACAACTGAGGCGTTCATCTAGAAAACGCGCTCACTAGCTTAAGGCTCGATCCCCGCACCCATTCCGTCAATCCTGTCCGCCCGCCTTTCGACATGTCTGACTAGCTGTGTCGTAAATTTGATCTGCTATGCTCTCTCGAATCGGACTTCTTCGACCTCTCCACCATTGGCGTTGGTTCTTGCCTAGCTGTTTACAACTTATATTTCTCCATGTCCACTTGCCGTCCACTTCACATTCCATGTTCATATTCGAGCAGTATGCACACCAATTGGATCCTGAACCTCACCTTTAGGTTCTACTTGCCATTCTAATCTCAAACATAAATATGTCTGGTTTGCTTTTGGTTCACTAAAGCTTTCCAAGATTGCCAAAGCGATTCCCAAAACAGAAACCGCCATGAACAACAACTGGATTAGCTTGATCAAGCCCAAAGAAGTGTTGCATAGGTCAATAATATTTTACTGTTACCCAGTTGAAGTAGAGCGCGTGGCTGGGTGCTGCTACAGCGTAGAAAAAGAAAAAGGAGAAACGCACAGAATCGGTTTCCGTTCATTGACAATTTTGTTGGACAAAAGCCAACGGAAATCATTCCTGGAAACTCGATTATCTAAGTGCTGTTTTGACGTCAACAGGCGCTGTCGGCGAAGCACGAAAGTTAATGTCTTTTTGGACCACGTTGGCCGAGATGATCGCCGACGTCGCTCGGCCCACGCTGGCTGGAAAGACATTATCTTTGTATGGGTCATTGGTGACAAATGACGACACTTTTCAGCAGATGCTGGAAACAACTTGAAAAGGAGGATAGAACAGCTGCAGAAGCTATAGATTTCACTCGCTAATTGGATTTTCTCGAGGTGTACTCGCAGACGGATCAGGAAATTGATAATGCCCGAATGGTAACGGTGCCGTCTGCTGTAAATGGGCATGGTGGGGCAAAGACAACCCTAACTATAAGGGAAAAAGCACCCGTTTGAAAACCAAGTAAATGAGGCACCTTATAGTTCATCAGGGACCGATTTTGCTATGCCATCCTCATTCGTTTCCACTGATGGACTTCCTTATAGGGGCAGTAAATAAGGGCATGATTTTATGTTGTGTTGGGGTATTCGACAAATGAGGATGCCTTGCACGCCTTCGTGCATAGACCCTAGCAAGGTTTTCATCTACAAATGCAACACACATGGAAACACGGGGAGTGACTCACTTAAAGGCAGCAATTACGATAAGGTGGGAGCGCATCGGGGAAGCATATGCACCACACGAATCAGTTACTTGGCTGCCAGGGAAGCGAGGTGTAGCGCTTTCACGACGAAGGTGCGCTGGTTGCTGAGCAGGACTTCGAAAGCACTCCGCCCCTAAAAGCGATCCGCCCACTGGTTTATTTGGATCGGTTCTTTGATTCGGAGGCTTTAGCTCTTTGCATGGCGTATTTATTGCGCATCACAAAGTCTCTCTAAAGCCTTTCGTGAATCTATCGTGATCGCATGTCTTCAAGGGGAAGAGTTACCAAATTGTATCTACCAGTAGCCACAGCATACGCCTACTGAAACGAAAATATTGGCAATGGCTGCGTAATAAGGCCTCAGTACTTGGCCATCACGACTATGTTTAGATATGAAAGATTTCTTGCAGCAGTCTTTGGCTAATTGTAAAGAGCTCCTGACAATGCTACTGAAAGTACAGACCTCTCATCTGATTGTCAACACCCAAGGCAGATGCCGTAGAAGGCAGGACGTGATGAGTCATCAGGCGTTACCTACTGCTCAAGCGTGGAAACAGTGTTTACTGAAGGAAGCTAGAAGCAAATGCAAGAGCGCGACGGCGTGTGGTCGATATTAGTAATGTTCTGCCAAAGCGGCGTGTCGTACAGGTTGGGTCAGGATAGATCACCTGTATCACCTGTCGTCCCGTTGATCATCGAATTGCTCGAGCGGGCGCCAGCAACGTCTCCATTCGTCCCTGTCGCGTGCAAGAGTTGTCCAGTGGACCCTCCTCGCTCGAGGGACACGATGTTCTTCATTCCTTTCGTTCAGAGCTTTCGTGAAGAAGTCTGACCATCGGGCCGGCGGTCGTCCAGGTCTTCGTTTGACGTCCCGAGGGATCCAGTCGGTAACCGCTCTGGTCCAACGGTCATCGCAAAATCGCATGACGTGTCCGGCCCACCTTATCTTCGATTCCTTGGCGAAAACGGCAGCGTCCCTGATCTTCGATCGTTGGCGTAGTTCGGCACTCCGGATTCCCCTCTGCACTTGCGTGTATAGGGTTACTCCTAGCATCGTCCTCTCGACAGCGCGTTGGATAACGCTGACCGCATGCTCGTCCTGCCTGCGCAGAGTCCAAGTCTCTGAGGCGTAGGTTAGGGCAGGAAGGACAGCGGAATCGAAGAGGTGGGCACGGAGCCGGATGTTCTTCGTCTTCTTCACTACTCCCTCGATGTTCTTGTACGCTCCCCAAGCCGCTCGTTTCCTCCTGCTCAGCTCTGGAGCTAGATCGTTCATCATATTGATTTCCCGACCTAGGTACACGTAGCTGGAGCATTCGGTGATGTTCGTTCCGTTGAGCGTGAATGGGGCATCAGGAACCAATCCGTTTCTCATAAACATCGTCTTCGTTAGGTTCAGCTGTAGACCAACCTTACCACAGGCGCAGTCGAAATCAGCCAGCATTCGCTCCGCTTGCTCGATGTTCGGCGTTATAAGAACGATGTCGTCAGCAAAACGAAGGTGGTGTAGTTGCCGGCCGTCGACCTTCACTCCCATGTCTTCCCATTCCAGTTGACGCATGACGTTCTCGAGAGCGGCGCTGAAGAGTTTGGGCGAGATGGTGTCGCCCTGTCGAACCCCTCTCTTGACGTCGATGATGACCTCCTTGTAGAATGGTGAGATTCTGGTCGTAAAGTTGCTGTAGAGCTCACGAAGAATCTTGATGTACTGAGTAGGGACGCCCTGGTTGCCCAAGGCTTCGATGACCGCTTCTGTCTCCACAGAGTCGAAGGCCTTCTTCAAGTCGATGAACGTGAGACAAAGCGGCATCTTGTACTCTCGTGAAACTTCAATGAGTCTTGTAACCGTGTGGATATGGTCGATCGTGCTGAACCCTCTTCGAAACCCTGCTTGCTCGCATGGCTGTCCTTCATCTAGTATTCTGCCGATCCTGTTAAGGATGACTCGAGTGAATAGCTTGTAGATTACAGACAGCAGGCAGATTGGGCGATAGTTGCCAATGTCGTCCAGGTCTCCCTTCTTGTACAGCAACACGGTCCTGCTGGTTTTCCACGGAGTGGGTACCTTGCATTCCGACAGGTAGCGCGTGAAGAGTCGAGCCAGAGTTTTGATGATGACTGGCGGCGCATTCTTCAGATGTTCCGGTTTGACCCTGTCGAGACCGGGTGCTGTACGATTCTTCACCGACTTGATGGCGTGTCGGACTTCGGAAGAGAGAACTGAGGGGACGACGTATCCATCCTGTTGCAGTTGATAAGTGGGCAGATGGACATGGCTATCGAAGAGATCCGAGTAGAAGTCGTGGATGACTTTCTCCATTGCCCTTCGGGATGCAGTAACTGTTCCATCCGGACGTCGGAGGCAGGTCATCTTGGTCTTGTAGCTGGCAAAGCTTCGGCGGGCATTGCGGATGCTCCTCCCAGCCTCTGCTGCTTCAGCTAATACTGCTGCTCTTCGCTCCTTGAGATCTTCCTTTATCGCCTCTCTGCATAGCTTCGCAAGCTCGGACGTGAGTCGGTGATTGCCTGCAGCTCGTGCGGCTCCACGCTGGCGTATCAGTTCGAGAGTTTCCGGAGACAGACGTCCCTTGGTGACTTTCAAACTCTCTGCCTTCTTGCCACAATCGTGAAGATGTTCAACGAGCCGATAGTACTCCTCGTCGATGTTTTCGATGACGGAATCCTCCCATAAGCTGACGAGGGAAGCGAAGTGATCCCAGTTGATGACTGTCCTGGGGCTTCGCTTCCTGAACTTCGAGGCTCTCTCAACACGCATCGAAAAGTGGAACTTTGCGCGGAGGAGACGATGGTCCGATCCCGTGTAGAACTTCGGAACAACAGCGACGTCGGTCAGGCAAAACCTTCGATTGAAGATGATGTGGTCTATCTCGTTATGGAACTGTCCATCAGGTGACTCCCAAGTCCAACGAAGGTGAGGGGGCTTTTGGAACTGTGAGTTACCATGGATGGTGTTGGTCGACATGATAAACTCCGACAGTCTCTCACCCTGCTCATTCCATTCCATTCCGTGAGTACCGATGTGAAGTTCTTCAGCCGTTCTTCTTGGGCCAATCTTAGCGTTGAAGTCGCCGACGATGACCTTAAAGAAGGTATGATCTTCCCTGTAGAACTTCTCCAATTCCATATAGAATGCTTCGTGTTCTTCTTCGTCGTAGCTGGATGTTGGTGCGTAGGCGACGAAGATTGTCAAAGCAGGAGTTGAACCACATCTTCTCAATCTCAAACGTCCGATTCGGGTCGTAAGGCTTTCGTACGAATCGATGTTTATGGCCAAGTGCGTGTTGACGAGGACACCCACACCAAACGCCTCTGCTGTCGCATGTTCCAAGGAACAGTTCTTCTCCAGTATCGAAAACGGCGTGTAGCGGGCGGTGCCTTCTCGTCTCGGTCAGTCCGATGACGTCGTACTTGATCTTCCTGGCCTGCATCATCAGATCTTCGATGTGAGCTTCGGATGCAAGCGTTCGTGCGTTGAAAGTACAGATCGCCATCTTAGTCCTTCTTCGTTTAGGCAGCCTATCCGGGCCCTGAGATTCTAGCAGCCTCTCCCGAGCGGTCCTACCCAACGCTGCCCGTATTGGGGGCTCCCTCAGGTTCAGGGGAATGAGGCCCATCCATATTGCTGTTTTCGGCATATTGAAGGCACACGAGTAGCTTGCCAGGCTCTGTCGTGCGGGCTAGGATAGACCTCCAGGTAGTTAGCCACGCTATCCTGGAGCGGAACAAGGGGCTTATTTCTTGGAGGCGGCCCCGAATCGCCTCCCATGTACTTCCCAGTCACTTGAATGCAAGCTTTTGGCTGTGCCGACATGCAGGATACCAACCGCACACACACAGAGCGCACCACACACGCAAGCATGCATGGATGCGCCTGAGTGGAGACAGCTGGTATGAATCAACACAGCACTACAGAAACAGGGAGTCCATCCCCTGAATCCACCTGCGTCTCAGGGCAAGTACATGGTGGCTTTTGGTCCGCGATTTACCCCCTATCCGCCACCTGGGGTCGCGCCACGTAGCCTCGCCACCAACCGGCTCGAGATCTTTCAGTGAGAGAGGACCCTCAGTGAAGAAGAATCCGTGAGGTCGGATTTGATAACAAAAAAAATGAACCATGAAAAATGAATATTAGTTATCAAAAGAAACAACTTCAAAAAGGGTTAGTACTGATACACAAAGCAAAGTTGGGATTGAAAAATATATCACCGCAGTGCACAGGCTTTCGATGAGGTTGGGCACAGGGTAAGGCAAAATCGTTGTAGATACGACATCATATATGCAGGAACTAGTAACAATACCCAGACCTGAACTAGAAAAAACCTTCTTGCAAATTTTAGTTCCATGGCTTGTTCTATAGTGTTCAAAGTCAATTAGAGCAAAAGTGGTGTTTCGGCCCACGACCAGAGTTGATGTTTTGGAGTTTCCAAATGGCGTTCTATTTCGATTTCGTCAGTGTGGTAGGTTCGCAATGCGAAAGGGTGAGAACGAATTTCTTCATTTGGTAGATGTGTTTACTTAGTTGTGAAGAGGTATGCTTTTGAATAACCGCAATTTTCAATCTGAGTTGCGGTCGAAAAATTATTGGAGCGGTCTACCGTTTATTATATGAGATTCTTTACGATGAACGGCCTCTGGAACTCACAGAAATCTCATTGCCGGTTCAGCTTTTGAGGCGGAATTCGTTTCCGGGCCGCTGTTTTACAACCATTGCGGAATCTGCGCGATGTTCACTTTATCACGTGGACGGAACATTTCACTTCGCCAGTGCTCAGAAATTAAAGAGGGCGGATTCAGAAATGTAGATTAGGTTTGACCGGCTAACGCGTGCACTGGAACCTTTTCAATGTGGTCTTTACTGCAATTTTAGAACGCATATTTCAGTTGATGATAAGCGTGAGGAGGATGAATATGGCGAAGTTATGCCTTTAACAGCAGAACACTATCACTATAATTGTCCAAGGATGAATTTATATCCAGCATTTTATATCCCCAGGTGCTAGATATGGACGTGGAGTGTCATTTTGGTCAAGTACAGTTAGCGAATGACATTGTTACTGGTTTCAATATTTTATTGACCGTATTTATCATGCTCCCTAAATGTATTAAGAACCGGAGAAAACTATTTAAGCATTGTTGCATGATTTCAACACCCAATTGGATTTTCTATTTACTCGACAGAAGAATTTTCGTTAAAACCGTTCACATAAACAGCGGTACAAAAGTGTTCATGCCGAAGCCGGTTTTCGAGTACTCTGTTTTTGGCCCGTTGAGCAAGGGGGCGTTTCCAAGATGGGGATACGTAAATCTTGAGTTTATTCATATCTCATCCTTGAAGAATCAGGATGTACGAAAGGAAAAAAGCCGAGGTACCATTAATTTTTCTGCCAAAAAAAAAGTACGGAGAAACGTTTCGGCGAACATTTTTAACCGCTACTGTAGTTTGACAGCTTTCAAAGTGAGGGATAACAGTTTTTTCGTGAAAACTAAGTTGTGATCTTTGTGAGACTGTGAAATCTATCGTCGTCTTTAGAGATTTTGGAGAAACGCATCATTAGAGTTTCATATGAGAGAACGAACTTCGTTGATTCGCAAAAAATGATATCCGTTATTCTGTGTATGGAGAATAATACAACAGAAAAACAACAGTTAATAAGAGGAGCTCCTTTTACTGATGGGAACATTTTGCTTTGATGCTGCTGGAGAGTCATCCAAATGAAGCTGTTTGAGGACAAAACTTGCTGATTCCAATTAGTTGTTAAAGTAGATTGTGCGTCCCGCGAAAAAAGAAAAAGCAAAACTTCCTAGAATGCTGGGTTGTGATTGCATGTATTGATGACCACTTTGCCGGGTAGCAAAGTTGGCGGTGCGATTCCCGTCCAAGGAGAACGTTTCGTTATAACCTTAGCATCGGTGGTGAGGCATCGCAGAGCGACGCAAGCAAAACAACAGTTCAACAATTGAACAACAATATAATTGATTAAGTATTCAGCCTTTTGGTTCATTACCGATATCGGCTAAACGGCTCAACACGTTATACGTGAGTGCTGACAAGGCTATGGTAAGTACAGCATGAAAAGCTGAGTTGGAATGGAATAGATAATGCCCGGTAGCGTAAGTTGTAGCGCACTTGCCCTAAGCAAGAGTACAGGTTCGAGCCTCGTCGGGGCAAAATTTTTGTTCACACCAGGTTTTAGACATTCGCCCAAAGCCGATTGCGGTTGCGTGTAACAATTCAAAACAAAATAAAACGTCCTTCGCCTTTCAGATTTTGGACGGAGTTAACACGGGCTGTTAGCCCGCTTAAAGGTGACCTGCAAAATATGTTGTTGTACATTATATTAGTATTACCAGATTAGTCCCCCGTCAACCGCCGGGACCTTCCTTTCCTGCGCAAGCTTTCTATCCTCCGCTATGGTCCCTTTCCTGTGACACCAACACCTCCTGGAAGTGACGCGTATGCAACACAATGGTGTTTCAAACAGTAGAAGGGACACAATCATGATATGACGGTAGATTTTTCGCTTCCCTTCCTCATCCTCCCTTCCTCTCTCCACTGCCCTCCAGCTGCCACTGCAGCACCATGTGGAATGAACGGAAGTGTGCTAAGCAGGTGTTTATATAGCCCTAAGAGTGTTATCACAACTATCCTGCTACAAAACATTGATATCTCAAATCCTGTAAGCTACCCGATTTGTTAGCGGTTTGTTTATCCCATGAGCTTCCTTCTCACTCACTTCATTTTGCGGACGGACACACATACATACATACACACACACATACAGACACACAACCGACACAAAGTTAGCGCTTTATAAAATAGAAGGATACATAGTGGTCGTAATGATAACATGTATTGTACTGCGCAGAAGAATCGCTCATACGAGAAGGCAAAAGCTGAAATTATTAAGATTCTGAGGGTTGAAATATGAAAGGACTGCTGAGAAGAAAATCACAAGAAAAAAATCACTCAAATCACGTCGCCGGTCCGCTATGCCTGGATTCCGATTTGACAATTGTTGTATTTCAGTAGCTTTGAGGTTGATAGAACGCTTCTCAGGTGCGAAAGATGCAAGTCACGTTAGACGTTCGTCTATCCTGCCCCATTACCCACCCTTCCCCTTCATGAATACCATTTTTATGGCGAATTTCGTTTCTAAATAGTATGAAAATCGGAAAATACTGACCTGTCATTGTGAAAATGCCGACCAACGTGCCGATGTTTCTCCCGGCTAACATCACTTCTTCCGTGTGAGCGCCTTCGGTGCCAATACATTCTTTGGCCGACTGAAATTTGAGACTATTTTAAGGTTATGTCAATACATAAACAAGATCCCTAAGCCATTTTGTGGATATCCGCTGCGTTTTTGCCTTTAGATTGGATATTGTTTTTTTGACAAGTGTTGCTACAGACTTTAATGACAGGATGTTTGTCGTAAACGTGAGCAGTGTTTGTAGTTGAGATAGGATACGAATCGATATGTTTAATCGATGCTGCCACTCATTTATTATAATGGTTGTAAAACGTTGGGCGAAAATAGCGCCGTTGAGTTATCCCTACGCCACACGCTTCAGTTACGTTAAAATACGCAAACTCTCTGCCCCTGAGGCAGTTGAATACGTGCTAGCTTATACAAAGACTTCTGGAGAAAATATGTCAACCCCGCGTCTTCGTCGCTGGCCTTATATCTGTATGCTTATATTTTCTTAAATTTCGTGCTTATGAGTTTGTCTGAGTTCCTCAACATCAGGCCACTTCACATGGTATATAATATTAGGTGTTAAGAAAGTTCTGTCGTTTTCCAGCCCCTAATTTTAAATGCACGTATCTCGGCTTGGGCTAAACCTTTCGAGTTGATTAAAAAACCATTTGAAAGCGCGAATCTTGTTCTATAAGAAACCGTTCAACAGGGTACGTTTATTTGGAATGCTGGACCTCTGGAGGCGATGAACTGAGGGAAGGTCGTTTTAGCATCATGTTGGTTTTTGATGTATTTCTCTTCAAGGAAGCTATCGAGATCGTCAGAAGTTTGACAGTAGATAGTTCAAGGGTCTACTAAGTAAGATGTTCGCAGAACCACTCTGAAGTTCAGCTGGTACAACTTGTGAAGGGTTGGCCGTGCGATGTGCGTTCAAGACACCTTTCAGGGATGTGTGTGTTCCTTTATAATGAGGAATGCTGGACCCATGTCCTAGAGTTTTTGATGATTTTTGAATTAGTATAAAGATTGATTCTCCACTGTAACAGTTCCATCTGATACTGAAGAACATGGCCAGCCGCTGGCCCCATGAAAGCTGCCACAACCCTCCTCCAGCACAGTTTAAATTCTGCAAAGTTTGTAGAGCTTCATCGCCGTCGATCTATTCAGCAAACTTTCGTAGACTATAGAGAAGAATCCGCTCTTTATTGTACGTCGCAAATCTGTAGAGAAACGAGTCGCTTTCACCACATAAAACCAGCGACAATTTGATGGACGATGCTTCAAATTGGTGATTTGTCGCGGCACGCCACTATCGAATTTTTTAGACTTTCCAGCTTCTTCCGTATAGCTTGGCTGTACAAACCATATACGCCCACGTTGGGCAGAACCTCCTCTATGGTCTTACGCACAAGTGCTTCAATCAGAACTTTTGGCTAATCGGAGACACCGTCCGATGTCCGACCACTACTCTCATCATATTCAAGGCTCTCGCCTTCCTTACAATAAATTTTTTAACTACTGCTTCTGAGCACATTTATTGCAAATCTAGGCCCAAAGCATCGTTGATATCTTGAACTGATCCCGCCACTTTCAGGTCTATTTAAAGCTAGAAAAAGAAAGTCATGCCAGCTTGCTCCTCGAGTATACTGAATTCAAAGCTTTGAAAAAGCTATAAGAAAATATTTTAGGATAAAGTTGTGCTGAGCATTGGATAGAGCTGGAAAAGTTCTTCAAAATGACATCAACATCAATTGCAGCTTTCCTAGATTTCAAGGGAAATAAAGCATCCAAAAGTGGAATGTCAGAAAACGACAGAACTTTCTGAAACACCTAATACTGTATGGTATAAAAAGTATGAGCCGATTGTTTGAAATCCAAAACTATTCGATTATATCGATACTTAGATATGCTATCGTGATTAGACTATCCGGCTGTTGATATACTTGCTCCGTATCAGGTAATATATAGGCTGGTTGCTTCTTTAAAGGACGAATTTACGATGGAAAAGCAACCCATTTCCAAATTGAGGTAGAGATGGTGAGTAGTACCAGAAAGAAAGCGAAACCACGAAAAACGGCCCAGAACCGGAGAAATGGGACCCCTTCCTTGTCCGTTGATTTGAGCATTGATGGACTCTCATCGCTGTGCCCTCTTCAACACTACGCTCTCTCAGCTATCTAATCACTCGCGTATTGAACTACGGCGAGTGATCAGATGATCGGTGGGCGGAGATCGCCGAACCCGCCAACTTTGAGGCATGATAGGTCTCAGAGGTCAAATCTTTCGATGCCGATTGCGTGTCTGTCCGCACCCTCAAGAGATTCACCGCTCTCCCCACTAGGCGATTTCTCCCTTCTCTACCTTAGTTATTGCGTGGGTTGCCTTCTTTAACTTTAATCATGATGTCGATTCCACAAGAGCACTTTCGAGCGATCATCTTCAATGAATGGCGCTGCGGCACAGGAGCAGTGGGAAACCGTCAACATTATCAGCATCGCATTGGGAAGGGACACCACTTCCATCATCAGTGCCAAGCTCTGGTTCGCAGGCTTCGAGGGAGGAGACACGGCTTTCAAAGAAAAGACAAGGTTGGGAAGCCCACAAAAGGTAAAAGACTCCACCGTTCTCGGCGCTGTCGAAGAGGATCCGGACGTTAGCACCCGCAGCCTTGTGATAAGACTCGGGTGCACCCATCCCACAGTCCTCGGTCCCCTCCACGACCTCGCCACAGGAAAGTGCTGACTCGATGGATTCCTCATGTCTTGACCGATAGCACGTTAGGCGGGATAACATGACGTTTTAATACTTTGTCCGATTTTGAAGGTTTCGGATGGAATGTTGACGAAAGATGAGAGTTGGCGTCCTATACTGAGCACATGCGTGTGGCTCTCGAGAGAGAAGACCGCCAAATACAAGACAAAATCGGCTTCAACCAGACAAGCTTTTCTTTGCTACTCTGATATGCCTTTGAGGAATAGCTGTAGTTTGTGGAATGTCCCCGCAAGAAATAAGGCTATCCGACAGATTTACTCTAGTCAGCTCCAGAAACTAGCGGACGCTGTTCAAGAAAAACGACCGAGACGAACTTTTGTCCACCTACTCCACGATGACGCCAGGGTCCCACATAGCTAAAGAGACCCGTGCAAAATTGGAGGAGCTGATCTGGGACCCGATTTCCCACCACCCTATTCCTGACATTGCCCTCTCTGATTATCACTTATTTCATTCCCTCAAGGCATTCCTAGCGAAGAAAAAATTCACCAAAGTTGAAGACGTTGAAAGAGCGGTCAGCGATTTCTTTGACTCTCAGTCTGCTCAGTTCTGGGAGAAGGGGGTCGCTGACCTGCCCATTAGGTGGGACTCTGTAGTGAGTAACAATGGTGATTATATTGTTGAGTAGATTCCATTGTACGCGGAATAAAAAAGTAAAGCAACAAAAAAGTGTCAAACGGCTCAGGACTTTTTACCATCCCTAATATAAGTTATGATAAATGCAATTAAAACCCAAAGTGATAGCCGAGATGTGAAGGAAGAGCGAAGGCTACGGTGGGCTCGGCCGTGCATTTGAAGAAGGTTAGGAAGTAGGATCTAGTAAGAAGGATTTCTACGATGATGGGAGGTGTGTTCCAATGCGTCCAGAGGGCTACCCGCGATGCTCTTGCCGATACACAGCCACGCTTCACGTCAACTGAGCCATTCAGCAGAGGAGCGTTCTAGCGTGAAGGGGCAGCTCGTGAGGATCACACCATTGCAAATCAGGGTAACGGGGGTTTATTGAAGGTTGGGCGTTGTCTCATGGTTTTCTTCACTATGCTCCTCTGATAACCTCAAGTTTGACGTGATGGGCTACTGCTTCATAATGAACGCTGCCTTTGATCGCGCCAAGGTATTGTGACGGAGGTTCAGGGCTTTTTTCTGAAAAATTATGTGGAGTTCAGAGGATTTTCACAAAACATTCGGAATTTCATGTTCTCATTCAGTATGTGGAAGTGAACATTATAATAGGGATGAATCGCCAGTTTCCAGCAGCGAAACTGGGACAGGGACACAGCACGTGTCGGGCCAATTTTCCCGACAAGCAGAGCACCATGCTCTGATATTTCGGTCTTGCCTATTTACTCAAGCAAGATAAAGGATAAAGGATAAAGCATTTGCCGTTGATCAATCCCTTTTTGGGATTCTACTTCCATTTGTACATTCGTAGTGGCGTTTGAATGCGATGTGGCCTATACAATGACTTGCGGGGCCAGCCGATGTACAAGTCAGTGTTTTTATCCTCCCAGACAAGTCTGGTACCAATTAACCGACCCCGGAGGGATGGAAGGCTTGGTTGGCCCGGGCGACTCACGACCCAGGATTTGATCCCCGGACCGCTCGCGTGGTAAGCGTGCCACTTGCCACTACACCACTTCCGCCCTCTCGAGCAGATGTGGTCAGTTCATTGATACAGGTGAAGAGGAGTTAGCCTATTCAACAGTCACGCAAGCAACCACGCCATCCCTCTTTTAGTGCGTTTTTTTTTCTCACGGAATAATTGCACAGTTGTTGACGCCTCCCAGTCTTAACTACAGACTGCTCATCATACGGCTTTATTAGATGTTTACCGTTCATTCCAAATTGCACATCTTCCTGGGTTGTCTGCGTTGGAATTCTTCTGATATATCGCTAGAACACTGGGTAACAGTGGGCAAAAGAATCCGTTTTCTTTGGATTCCTTGCTAGTTACAGAAAATGAAACTGATCAGTACCGACACTCAGACTACTCTGCAAGCAGTTACTGCTCTCTGAGCCCATTCAATTCTGAGTCAATGTAAACGACCTAGACGTTCGAACAGTCTGGGTATTGTGGGTATTGTGTGGGTATTCTGTAAGCTTAGAGTGAGCTCTGGCGACAACTGACAAAGGTACCGGACTCTGCGACTGCGCGGGATTAATGCTAGGGAGAAGAAGAAGAGAGTGAGCTCCGTCAAACTACGATGATCAATACCTCTTCGGGAGGTGCCACGCATTCTACTTCCACTCAGATTCGAGTAAATTTTGAATGCGATGTGGCCTATACAATGACTTGCGGGACCAGCCGATGTT